TCCGGGAGCTCGCCAAGCCCTTGGGCCTCCAACCCTTCCCTCTCCTGCACTTGCACACCGCATTGACCCAAGGCGCGGGGGAGGGCGGGGCGGAGGAGAAGGGAGCAGGCAAAGGAAGTCTACGGGGGCTGGTGGAGGAATACCGGGCCGTGCCCTCGACCCTCCCTCCCCCTGGAAGCGGCCGGGGGGGTGGCAAAGTGGGAAAGGCCGAGGGTCGGCCGTCCCGGCATTTTCTCTCCCACTTCTTCTTGTCTTTCCTGCGTCTGATTTTCAACCGACACGTGGTGACGGGGGAGGCGAAGGAAGGGGAGGAAGGCGGGCCGCGCTCCGGGCGAGGCGAGCCGAAGGAGTCGGCGGCCTTTCTGTGGAACTTGACGCGTTTTACCTGGGCGGAACTACTCAACCCCTTAACCCTCCCGGAAATTGCCCGACGCTTCCTGGTGGCGAAATGGCGGGAAAAGAAGAACATGCTTCAGTGCCCGGGGGCACTTGAGGAAAAAGTGTTGGTGGAGCTCTTTGAGGTGGACGGAGGGTACTGTCCGTTCGGGGAGAGTTTCCTTGGGAACGACGCCATGGTGGTGGCGGCCACGGAGGCGTTAAGGTGCCTGCAACTTGAATCTTTGGGCGCGGAGTACACCCTGTCCCTGCTGCGGGCTTTGATGGAAGAGGTGCAGGACGTGAAGGCGGTCCAGGATTTCATCCAGACGAAGGCGGAGCGACTCTTGAACTTGTCGGAGACGAAGAACGAGGTCGAGAAGGAGATGAGGAAGCTGAACCGGGAGATGAAGAAGTTGGTGATGGCTGCCAAGGCGATGGGCGTGGAGGGGGTGGGGAGGGGCGCGTCGGCGGGCTCGGGAGGCGCGGGCGGGGAAGGGGAGGAGGACGAGGGAGGGGAGGATGATGAGGGCGGAGGGAAGGGAGGGGCGGAGGAGGAGGACGGCTTGAATGGCAAGGACGTGAGCACGACGACAGGCCCAACGGTCCTGGGAAGCCCCGAGGTTCAACATTTGAATTCAAAAATTCAAAAAGTCAGCGGGCAGTTGAAGGCGGCCCGGGAAGAGCTGGGCTTGTACGAGCGGGAGTTTGCCCGGGCCCGCTCGTTGCCGTTGGGGGAGGATCGGTATCGGAACCAGTACTGGTACTACGAGGAGGATCCCCGTCTGTACGTGCACTTGCGGTCGGGGATGGGGGCAGGGCGGGAGGGAGGGGGCGGTACAGGGTTGGTGCTTACGGCGAGGGCCGGACAGGTGT